GGCATCGCACGGGAGCGGCGAGCGATTTCGCTCCCGTCAGCTTTCAAAGCGCTCTGGTAACAACAATTACGAGAGCGAAAATGTTGGAAGCTACGAGAAAAAATCGCTCCCGTGCCGCCGGCAGCGTTCCTCAACCGTTCCTCAACGTTCCTCAACCGTTCCTCAAACGTTCCTCAACCGTTCCTGAGGAACGGGTCGGTCTACGTTGGATACCCTAGCTTAGATGTTTTTGCGTTGAGGGAGTTTATGCAGCTCAGTTTTTGTTCGTGTGGCGAATCACCGCGACGCGACAGTCTAAGAAATCAATGTGTTTTTATAACCGCGTAACAATAAGTTTATATATCGCAGGGGTTATTTTGTTATAATTGTGGGAAGTTAGGGCACGACCAGTGACACCTGACACGCACGTAATCAAAGCTGTTTTCTGAATTCGTCACGTAGAAAATGGACTGTTTTTATTCAGGTAGATATTTAGAAGAAATGTAAATTGTATATACTTGAAGATTCTAGGCACTTGTAACTTTGTGGATGTGCGGCAGCATTGATAGATCTATGCATGGGGGTACCGTGGAATGGAGAAGAGAAAAACGAAAGTAAAACCTTACCCAGAAGCTCCCGCGACATTCCTAGAGATTGAAACATTATTTGACCAACTCTAATTAAGTTACATCAAGAGTTAATGAAGACACTATTTGTCTTCATTAACTCCTTGTTATGCGTATGCTGTTTTAATTCCAATGGTTATCTTTATATACTATTTTGTTACTCACTGCTAGTAAATAAGCTGACCACCAAATTTTTGTGCAGGTCCACCAACTTTCTGAAGTTGGTGGTTCTGCTGTCCACTAGATTTTCAGCCAAAATTCGAACCCTGCGGTGCCGGGCTCGACAAACCCGCTTGCCCGATGGCCCGGGGCAACCAAAATTCGCCCCGGGAGAGGTAGCTTGAAATTGCACTTCCCTGTTCGGGCAAGCAAGTTTTTTTTATTGAATGGCTAGACATAACGAGATTTGAATTAAAAAACAATGCGAATGAGACAATCAGTGCATGCAGTCATACTTTGTACACAACATGCATACAGCAACATGTAAACCCGGCCTCCGTGATTTTGTCACCATTAGGAATAATTTGTGATCTCGTCGATTTCGCCAAACCATAATCTTGACTTTTGTTTGGGAAACACCTTTACGATAATTAGACACAATTTCTGGCTTCTGAGACATTATTAGAGTCAGTGCATCAAAATTATGAAAATTTTAACAAAATCATGCTATGAAAAAGTAGCTCTGGTCAAGCTTAAAATAGCTCCCGTTAACAAAATTACGAGAGCTCTTTTTTTCATACAAAATCAAAAACGAGCTCTCGTAATAAAAAAAGTATTTTTTAGGCTGTACCACACTGTACAAACTTTTAGGGCCCCCCCCCCATCCATTTCGCCACACTCCCCCCGTTGAAAAATGTCGTCCGCGACATGTCCCCCCAAGTCGATAAGCTGAAACAAATGAGTTAACACCCAATTTACTCGCAACAGGTGCTACATCAGAGACATGGTTATGACAGCAGATCAGGCTCGTCTTTAATTATTTACAAGCATGCCTTTAATTAATTAAATGCGTGTATGTAAAGTTACAAGCATGCACGTAATTAATTAAATGTGTGTATGTAAAGATACATGCATGCTTGTAATTCCAACCAATCAGACAAAGTCTTACAAATAATTAAACGCGTGTATGTAAAGTTACAAGCATGCACGTAATTCCAACCAATCAGACTCAGTGTGTGGAAACGCTTGTCTATATTCAGGCCGGTGCAGGAGATAATTTGCATATTTTGTCACGTGGTTTGTGTTAACAATCGGTATGTAATCGCGGCCGTAATTCGTGACGTCATTCCAGCTGTAATTCGCAAAGCATTCTCACGTGCCAGAATAGTGGTGAAGCATGGTGGGTGGTGGAGCAAAGAGGAGAGATAGCTTGGTGGGTGGGAAGGAGGAGGGGAAGCTGGTAGAGAATGAGGAAGGGGAGAAGGTCGCGTGTGAGGAGGAGGAGGGTGAGACGCTGGTTGCGAGCAAGGAGGAAGCGTGAGAAGGCGAGAAGTGGGTGGAGAATGTGAGGAGGGGAGAAGCTTGGTGGAGGAAGGAGGAAGGGCGAGAACGGGAGAAGGTGGTTGGAGAGGGAGGCATGCGGATGAGTAAGAAGCTGGTGGAGAGTGTAGGAGGGATGAAGGGGAGAAGGTGGTGGAGGATAAGAGGAAGGGAGAAGCTGGTGGGGAGGTGAGTGAGGGTGTTGAGAATTAGGAAGGCGGAGGAGTGGCGAGAAGCGGAGCTGTGTGCTAAGCGAGGAGGGGAGTAAGGGATAAGCTGGGGGAGAAGGAGGGCAGAGTGTGAGAGGCCTGGTCAAAGCTTCCTCCTTCTCCAGCAGCTTCTCCTCCTTTTCACTCTAGCTTCTCCCTTCATCCCCCTCTCCTTCTCCACAGCTTCTCCCTTCTTCCCCCTCCTTCCTTTCTTCACCATCTTTCCCCCTCCTTCTCCCCTTCCTCCTTCTTCCACAGTTCTCCCCTTCCTCCTTCTCCACCAGCTTCTACCTTCTCTCCCTCCTCCTCCACCAGCTCCCTTTCTCCCCTCCATTCTCCCTTCGCTCTTTCTTCCACCAGCCTTCTCCCCTCCTCTTCTCCTACCAGCTTCTCCCTCATTCTCTACCACCTTCTCCCTTCTCCCCTTCCTCCTTTCTCACCAGCTTTTCCCTTCATCCACAACCTTCTCCTTCTCCCTTTCTTCCTTCTCCCCCTCCTCTCTTCCACCAGCCTCCCTTCTCCCTCCTCCCCTTCCTCCTTCTCTACCAGCTTCTCCCCCTCCTCCCCTTCCTCCTTCTCTACCAGCTTCTCCCCTCCTCCATCAGCTTCTCTTCCTCCTCCACCACCTTCTCCCTTCTCCCCCTCCTCCTCCACCACCTTCTCCAGCGTAGTGCCCCAAAGCGGGATGATCCATCCAAACAAGATCACCGACCAATGGAAAGGCTTGTGGCTGCGGCTGGTACGACGGATTCCCCAACTGATCATACGTGAACATCTGCCGAGGTTGCTGTTGACGCTGTGAGCTTCTTTCCGCCTCGTTCTGGCTTGACCGATCCCCTGACGTGGCCGTACCATTGGACCCCTGTACTGCAGGGCTGAGCTGGTCGCTGGATGATCCAGAAGATGGCTGGAACAGTTCGGCTTCGGGACCGCCTGTCCTCGCTTGACCCTTTCGCCATGGCTGGGGCTTGTCCATCATCATGTTCACTCAAATTCTCGCTCATGGTCCTCACCCTTTCATCATTCAAACTATCAACACCGGTTTCGGGCGCGTCATGCGGTGTTCAGAACTCTGGTTCTGTAAGACGAACTCCCCTGACGAATCGCTGTCTGTGTTGCTTGGCCTCGATGGAATGTCCTGCTGTCGTCGTTGCTGGTCCCGCACTCGCCGTGGCTTCCTCTTCCCTCTTCTGTAACCAAGGAGGTTGCATGCCCTGAAACGGTAGCTCGTCACATTGGAGGAGCAGGTTTTGGTGTAAAACTCTCCCCTGCCCAGTTCCCTTCTCTGGCTTGACTTGGTATACTGGCGAGTCTGGTGACATCCGTCGGGTGACGACCTGTATGTCTTCCTCCCAATACGACCGTAACTTGCCCGGCCCCCCTCTCTCATTGAGGTTGCGAACGTTCTTGAAGAATGGAACTGCGAAGACAACGATCATGATTCTTCTTGCCCTTCTCCTGGGAGCGCCTAATCTTCTCCCTGGCCAGGTCGTAGGACTCCTTCATCCTGTTCATCTACTTCTCGACAGTGATGTTGCCCTCTCCACTCTCACACCCAAAGATAAGGTCGATCGGCAATCGGGGGGAACGACCAAACAGAAGCTTGAACGGAGAGTAACCAGTGGATTCATGCTTCGTGCAGTTATAGGCATGCACGACGTGATTAACATGACTCTTCCAGTCAGTCTTGTGGGTCTTCTCCAGGGTCCGCAGCATTGCAAAAATCGTTCGATTCATTCTCTTACATTGTCCATTCCCCGCTGGGTGGTATGGAGTTGTTCTCGAGCGACCGATGCCACATCTCTTCTGAAGCTGATGGAATAGCTGATTTTCAAACTCCCGACCCTGGTCATGGTGGATCTTTCCCGGGAATCCGAATCGGGGAATATAGTCATTGAAGATCTTGTCGGCGGCGGTCTTCCCAGCTTTGTTATTTGTCGCGTAGGCCTGCACGAACCGGGTAAAGTGGTCTACGATGACAAGCAGGTATTCATGACCACCCTTAAACCGCTCCAGGTGTACAAAGTCAATGGAAACCAGCTCAAACGGTTGCGACATCTGGATTGGCTTCAACTCAGCTTGGCGCACAACGTTAGGTTTCTTGGCCTTGAGACAGCGGCATCTCTTCCGGATGTAGTGAGTAATATCAGATGACATTCCGGGCCAGTAGAACCGATCCTTGGCCAACGCAATCACCCTGTCGGGACCCAGGTGCCCCATCTTCTCGTGTAGCTCCTCATAGACCTTCTGATGGTATTCTCGAGGGAGACAAATTTGCGAAACATCGGTAGCGTCCCTTGAGTGGCACCTCTGCCGCAAGATCCCATCTGGATCAATGCTGAGCCTGTTCCAGTCCCGGACCCACCGATTCAGATTACGACTGTTCAGCAGGGTAGTCCTGAAGCTGCTTCCGGGACGGCTTCTCCTTCAACTGTACCCAGTCCTTCACCGGAACACGGAACACCAGCAGTGATATTGGATAAACTAATACGCGTTTGGCTATAAGGCAAGCACGCACGTATGTATGCACGCACGTACGTACGCACGCACACACGTACGTATGCAAGTACGTACACACGCACGCACGCACTTACGCACGCACGCACACACCACAGGCACTTGCAGCGTTTCAATAAAATATAATGCTAACTAAATACGAAATCTATTTACTACCAAATTCTTAAAATGTTTCTATACTCTCTTTCACCTATTATTGCCGACAGTTTCCTGTAAATTCCGTCAAAATCCTACGTGCAACCATATACGCTGCCGGCAGCAATTGCTCTCGCGGTTCCAGTGTTGCACGCTTACACTTATATAGCAGGTAGGAAAGCGGGATCGCAAAATTCGCTCGACGCTCACTTGATTTCACACTTTCACAGCACAAATACACATCCAACAGCTGCCGTCTTTGTTTCTATGTCAAGAACAGTGTTCACTTGTTATAAAAACATACTGTCTCTGTTTGTAACCGAGCTGTGTCACGCGAAATCACACAAAGACTGACGAAATTCTCGCGTTAGCACACCTTGCCCAGTAATGTAAATGGCTGTCAGAATCAGGAAACACCTACCGGCGCTCTTCGTGACCTCATTCTTGCGTCGCTGCAACGTTTTTGCAACGTTCCAATGGCGAGGCTCGTACGGGAGTTGGAAAGCAGTGTGCCGCCTGCGCACCGCCTATAAACTGGCACTCGCTCCCACCTCTCGGCTTAGCTTAGTCACTCGATGGGTAATCGAGGTGGGAGCGAGTCCCAGTCTATATAGCCATGTACTTGCAGCATACTTCTTCGCGAGATATGCGTATAATAGCCTATGGGCATTACCGCGCATGCATAATTGCTAATTAATTAGGTTAATTGTAGGTCAACTCACAGTGATTACTTCTAAGACATGTATCATTATGCATGTAGAATTATAGAAACGTATCTCATATAGATCGCGAGATATGATAGGTAAATACACTTTCCTACCAGCTAAACCCGTACTACAGGCCTGTATAAGCCTTTCGGCTTGACCGCGCGTGAATAACAGCTAATTAATTAGGTTAATCGTGGGTCAATTAACTTGAAACTCACAGTGATTACTTCTAAGACATGTATCATTAGGCATGTAGAATTATAGAAACGTATCTCATATAGATCGCGAGATATGATAGGTAAATACACTTTTCTACGCGTGCTGTGTGTGTGTGCGTGTCTGAATGGATTTGGGTGTGGGTTAGCTCTAGAACTATAGACATTTGCTTCGCCTCCTGTGGCGCAGCGAAGAGCTATAGTGCTAGAGCTAGGTGTGGGTATGATAATGTATGCGAGAGTGAGCGCGTGTGTGTGCATCAAATCAGGTTGTCTGCAACAATTTCTGGTTGTCCCAAAAAATATCTCCAAATCTCTTATTTTCAATCACATAATAATATGAATCTGAAAACACCCAAAACCGTTGCGTAGCCAGGGATTTTTTAACAAGGGGAGAGCCCCGAAACAGCGACTGGCAAAAAGTGGACGACTTAATATTTTAATGGCTCCTCCGCCTCCCTCTCAACCCTTATGGCTCCTGCTACTCTTCAGGCTCTGCAATCTTTGTTTTGGGGCGCCATGCAAAAAGGCGAGAAAAAAAAAAAAAAAAAAAAACAAAAAAGAAAAAAAAAAAAAAAAAAAAAAAGAAAAAAAAAAAATTTTTTTTTTGTTCATTGTTCTCATGCTTCGCAAGATATTATGTTATTGTTCAGTGGCGCATCCTGGATTCCAAGGAAAGGGGGGGGAGTGAACAGGCGCGGGGGGGGGAGTATGGGGTAATATCCGGCAGAAAAATTTTGACATGTAGATCGCAGGAGATGGTATTTGCGGCACCTTTGGTAGCAATGTAGCAGCCTTCATTTCTGACTATGACAAAATTCTCTTTTTTAGTAGAACATTCTTTTTTTTAAGCTCAGATCAACATTGGATGGCCGCGCATCCCCGCCCCCGCAACTTAACTTACGCCACTGCCCAAGAAGCATACTGTAGGAGTGGATATCTTTAAATTTTATTTTAATTTCCAACCTGCTAAACTTTAATACTTTGCATGAATCAAGGACGGTGATCGTGAGCTAGTTAATCTTCTTTTGCATGAGTCTTGACATTAGCAAAGAAACTATTTTGGAAAAGGTCAAGACAATCGGGTTTCAGGTATTCACTCATAGTCATACTCTATGAGTCATTACTGCAATAATATTATTATATATCAATTGTCGCACTTATGATCAAGATCATTCAGATGTATAAGATAAATATTATTGCAGTATGACTCATATGACTGGATAATAAATGACATATCGGTACAATTATCGCACTATATACCCATTAATAAAATTCAAAAGGCTGCCTGAATATATCATGCAAATGTATTCCAGGTCTCATTGAATCATGCCAAATGGAAACACATGACTTTGGTCTAGAACCAAACCTTAAGCTCCTTTAATCATTGTCATTTGAAGTAGAATGCGCGTTTTGTATACAAAATACAATTTTCTTCTCAACTCTAAGAAGTCTGTTTGCAAAATCTGATATCATTCTTAATCACTTGAACAGGCTATTACTGTTTACAGTTTAACATTACCAGTTTACTGACTGCATGTTTGTTTTTTAATTTCTTAAGTTTAAAATGGTTTGACATGGCTAGCTATTAGATAACTCTATTATCGCTGACACTCACTCGTCGCAGTTAGTCAATGTGTTAGCCTCTGCCAGGGCAGATTCGATTAATGCACTGCCACAACCAAATCATACCAACGACAAGTCATCTTGTCTCTTCAAGAAAAAGCGTTTGTAGTGATGGCGATAAGTAGTTACCTGTTTTACTCGCCGATGAACTTTTGTCCACACAGTTCAAATTTGTTGTCTTTTTACGAAGCGTGAGTTTGTGATACCGCATACTTATTGGCCAAAGCACCATATATACACGGATTGCTGACCGAATG